ATAAGAAAGTTAGTTGTCTTACCGTGACCGATGGAGAAGAGATGATATTGTACCAAGAATTTTCTTACGTGAATCCTTATAAAAGACACAACAAAAAATAGAGGAAAATTGTAGGTGTTTAGATTTTAATGATGAACTAGAGAATGAAAGATGGAGAAGGAAGAGAATATATATCACCGCCAGCATGTACGTGAATAGAAACATTCAAAGAGGAGCTAAGGAAATATAAAATTTAAGGAGAGATATCATCAAATGCTAAAAAATAGGAAAGTCTGAGATAAAATAGGATACTGCCGAGAAGGAAAAAACATCAATGACTAATTTAGCCTCAAACGAAATAATTAACTATATTAAATCATGTTGCAATCCAATGGCTTAAAATCATTCTTATTTCTCTCCTAAGATGATTTTCTCACTTGAACCTAAATCAAGTGAGAAAGATGTTCTAGGAGAGAAATGAGAAAGAAGGAGAGTCGTTGAGATCTTTAATCTGATGGTCGAGTTTTGCAATTCAATTAATTATCAAAATCTCAAAAATTAAGGAAAGCAATAACTTGCATTAAATATGTTACGTTTAATTTGCATCATAGGGACTTTTACGTAAATCAATTGTGCACTTGCCTTCCTAAGCATGTGGAGCTAATTTGGAAGTTTTTCATTTTACGGAGTAATTAAGAGTAGTTGCAATTATGGCAAGTCTCCTAATGTACTGAGATTCACGAACCACAATTATTTTCCATTTAAATATATATGTGCATTGTTCATAAGATAGTTATGCATCAATATTATACGGAGAGTATCATAATATTAAAGGTGCAGCCTATAGTATATAGATGTGCAACACGTGTGGACATATAGTGCACAAACAACGAGCATTGTAACTTCTTACTTTTGAATTGTTCTCTTTTCATTTTTCTATAATATTATATATTTTTTCTTAAGATATATCTATAGTGTTGAATTAATTATAAAATGCGCCTAGTTTTTGTTGTAAAACGCATTTCAAAGCAATTAACAATAGTTTCATTATTGTGGATTTACATGGACTTAAACAATGTGCACTTCAATTTACCCGAAAAGTATTGATACATTATGATTGAATTATCATGCACTTGTGAGTTGTGACTTGTATGTGTGCATCTCATAAGTTTGTGGATAAATATTTTTCATTGTAAATTTGTAGTATATGGTGCACTTTATGTTACATTTGTAAGATAGTTTTCACATTTGTAAATAATACTTTTCATTTCAATAATGTGCACTATTTATCTCACTAATATGCATGCACTTTTTATGTCATTAATATGCACTTTCTATGTAAGCTTTAAAGTATTAAACTATTTATCTCATTAACATGCACTTTTTAAGATATTGAAAGTGCACAAAACTTTGTGCACGATGTAATTTAGTGGAAGTGCATTAAACTAAACATCAAAATGCATTGAAATATTAAGTAACAGCAATGATGAAATTATTATGCACCGAAATACATTCGAAATGTACTATAACATCGAACTATTTCAATATCTTTTATCCAAAATAATTTTTAATTTCCGCATAAAATCGCACATCATCCAACTTTTGAACAACACTCTAACATAGAACTTCAGTGCATCTCTCGTACCCTATAACTGCAAGTGTGCGAGGTAATTGGCGGTGGAAACATAAAAATAAAGATTAACCAGTATAAGAGGCCAAGTCACCTGAGTGATACCCATATAGCCATATTATCGCTAAATCGAGTGAATATCAAGAAAGAATGGTTTGAAGTTTTAATTCAAGAAGTTGTCAATACAATCTTTTTGAATAATCCTTGCTAGAGAGGGATTTTGTTCTGCGAGGTGTGAAATATCTTGCAGCAAAAACAAAAAAATTGACAAATAGAGATTGCAGTGATGGTCTCTTCTCAAAATAATGGTGAAGAAGATGATAAGTTGATAAGGATAAAAGTAATGGTGATAACGTAACGGTTGAAAGAAACAAATCACATGTCCAAAAATAGAGGAGAATATAATCGGAACATATCTTTGCTGAAAAGGAAATAAATATAAAATGGCTAAAACACCCTTCCACGAAAATAATTAAAAATTAGAAAAAAGCTACAATCTAACGGTTCCAATGTATTCTCATTTCTTTCCCTAGATAATATTCTCATTTGATCTTAAACCTATATATATATATATATATATATATATATATATATATATATATATATATATATATATATATATCTCTACAAACTTATAAAGGTGAATGAGGGTTAGGGCTATTTAGGAATATAAAATGTGTTGGTGTAACATAAGGCAATACTTAGTTGTACTCTATGCTATTTATGTTGTCCTTTAAAGTCAAAACCTTTCTGTCTCTATGCTTTCCGTTTGATCTCCGTTAGGACCGTTAGACCTCATTTAAGCCTATATGCTTTGCTGCAATTCCTAATGAGTCATACTCCCACTACGTAAGTAATTGCTTAGTGATGTTTTAGGAATTGAATGAGTCGGTGCTTTTAAGCAATGCAATTTATGAGCTTTAATATCAAGTAGTACTCCGTATAATAATTTGAGTGAACTGAGCTTATTTTTTTGCTTGATGAATTGTTTAATTGGACATGGAATGTTAAGAAAGTTTTTCTTATTGCTTATAGCCCTCTACTTTAAAAATGGGTTTCAAAGTAATTTTCGAAAAAGTCTTTAATGATAAAAATTTGTATTGTTTGAAAAAATACTTCTGAACAGATAAAGGTTGGTAGTAGTATGTGTAATAGAAAAAGTGCAAAATAGGAAAAGTGAAAAGTGATTTAAAGCCAAAAATTGAAATTCATTTTTTTTAATTTTTGCAAACACTCCATAAGTTGCAATAACCTTTTAAAGATGCTACCTCCGTCCCTTAAAATTTTGCCAAGTTTGACCGGCACGGGGATTAATAAAGTAAAAAATGTGTGGTAGAGGGTTGTGTAGAGGAGAGAGAATTAACTGGAATCACAAATTTTTAACTTAAAAGGGAAAGTGGCAAAGTACAAAAATCCGGTGACCATGCATATGTATACTCAATTAGTTTATGGATGTTTTTACTTGGACTGTAATTTGCTGGTCTGGTCTGGTTTGATCTGGTCTGGTCTGAAACAAATTACAGTCCAAGTAAAAATATCCTATGTTGTATAGCTCCGAATGAGAAAGTTTTAAATCTAAAATGTATTTTTTAAATCGTGAAGCTCATGAATTGTGATTTTATTGTATGTTTATACTTAATTGGAAAAGAGAAATTTTATCTGAAGCACCTTAATGTATGTAATTTGTAAATTTGTTTACATGAGTGTTTTCTTGTTAATATGGAACGCTTTTCAATTCATAGTCTAATTTAGACTCTCGTGTATGTATTTGGTACTAACAAATGTGTTTTCCCATTTTGAATTTATGTTTTAGATCATTTTGAGTGAAGACTACAACTTTTAAAATTTATGATTTTGTTGTCATTAGCGAATTTAGAAGAAAATATTACACTAAACCATGATGGTGCTATTAAGTCATACAAATTATTACTATTGGACATCTTCCTATCGCGCAACGCGCGTAGCACAACTAGTATATATATATATATATATATATATATATATATATATATATATATATATATATATATATATATATATATATATACACACACACACACAGTTACTTTCATTTTTTTTTAATTTCTTATTTTTTATTTTTCGCAATTTTGACACTTTTAATTGTTAAGGGGGTAAATTGAACAACTCGGTCGGGTTCAGGGGCCTATTTGACCCTTTAAACGGCCACATGGGATGTACAATTGGCATCTCACAGAGTGACATGGCGGTGGCCGGACTATTACTTGCAAAAAGTAAAATTTGAACATTCCGGGTTGGTACAAGAGTCTATTTGACTCTTTAGCCTTTATCTTTTATGCTACTTATTTGACTTTCATAATGGCAGTATAATAATAATAATGTCATAATGATAATATTCTTGTTTTGAGTGACATTGCTCGTTAGATTAAAAGTGTTTGAGTGATGGGAAAATTTTAGGAATGACCAAATTTCGAAACCCGCACCGATCGTGTGGAAGTTACAGCTCTAATGTGCTGAACTGGACATTTGGTGCGCATGGGTATAAGTTTACCATCATTGGGCAGACTGGATCACTGTGATTAAAATCTTCTCATATGTCTTGTCGGGTCGGGCGTGGGGGCCCTTGGGGGTTGGTGATTCAATCTTTTGAAGGAATAGAAAGTCTAGGTGTTTATGTACTCATATCAAGTGGTACATGATCCTATTTTAATGTCGCACTTGCATTGTATTTTAATTCTATTGAGTGCATTCTTTTTAAATAACATGAGTAATGCTTTAAACCTAAATAAAACTAACCTTGAATTGACTAAATTCTTCTAAAATGAAAATATAGTGTATATATACAGAAAAAATACTCTGTATTAAATAAAAAGAAATAAGACTTATTAAGTCATGTTTTAGAAACAAAACATAAGTTGTTCTATTTGTGCACTTCGCACATGTTTTAATCGTATTTCAAGCAATTTCTTTTACATAATAAGGATTATTTTTATAACATCATTGTAATAATCGCGAGAATAACATGAATGCATCAAATGGTCCAAATTGCTAAGCAGCCAATTTGCTTCGACATGTGCCAAATAAACAAGAAGAGCTTATTACTTGTGTGGGTAAAATTGACTGAAAACACTACCAAGCATGAGCGTGGAAATAGTCTGTCAACCATCACTCCTATCTAACCCTCACATTTGTCATACACTCCACTCTCACTCCATTCATTTTTGTCCTTTTCTCTTAAATTCCACTAACTCTCTCTCTCACTCCCACCCTCCCATCCACAATCAGCAAACGTCTACTAAAAAGTAGGACTACAAAAACTCATTTTGCATGCTCTCACACCTCTAACTCACTAACTGACTAGCTCTATAAATACAATATCATAATCTCCCCATTCATACACAACATTCAACTCATTAACACAACCTTCAAAACAAACGAGTTTGATACAAAGAATAGTATGATAATGGTGATGGTAGTAGATAACAGTCCCGAATTGGCATCGTCCACCTCGGGTCCAATGACACACTATTCTCGGGTGTGCAACCGAGGGTTTATTGTGCGCAGGAGCCCTCAGTGGGCACATGCGGTCTCACACGGTGGGAGATCAAGCAGACAAGAATCAGAGTGATGATCACGACCACATGAACAACAAGCAATCAAATGTCAGAAAAAAGCACTCCTACTTCTTACGCACTATTGCCAACCGTTTTGTCGCTAAAAGTAGTGGATATAGAGCTGATGACGATGATAAGGGTGTAATGCCACACGGGAGCATCACGTCATTTTCGTCATCGCCTCCTCTTCGTAGTCATCAATATTGTGTATCAAAGGAAGATATGGATCTAGCTAATTGCCTGGTGATGTTATCATCCAACGGGTCATTCCAATTCACGTCGTCTCAAGATGATATACACGATCACAAGGGAAAAATGGTCAAGGAAGAGGACACAAACAACAACAATAATAGGGGCTTGTTCCCATGTAAGGCATGCAATAAAGTGTTCAACTCCCACCAAGCATTGGGTGGCCATAGAGCGAGTCACAAGAAGGTTAAAGGTATTGTGCATGGCCTCGAATATTCAGTAACACAATATTTAAACATAACATATTCTACTTTGAAATGAAGTATCATAGTTTGATTCTAAAACTGTGAACGGTTCATATCTAGAGAAATATTATTACATAGTTCAAAATTCAAATCATTTGTTGGACTAAATAAATGATTAGAATAATGACATACCTAGCTAGTTGTCCATCCATACTTATATATGTTTACTCATATTTGCGACATTTTCTTTAAAGGTTGCTACGCTGCCAAGCTCGACAACCTCAACCACGACAACAACAATAACAAAAATGATGAAACCGGCAATTATTGCCCCGATGAATTCTTGGATAGCGATTATTCTCTGCCCTCCACACCACCACCCTCGGCCTCCGCCACAATCTCCCGGAAGCGCTCAAGGGTGCATGAGTGTTCCATCTGCCACCGGATCTTCTCCTCCGGGCAGGCATTGGGTGGCCACAAACGGTGTCACTGGCTGGCAGCATCAAACACGGCAGACATGACAGTCTTACAAAGTTTTCAAGAAATTGTGGCATATGACAACAAGCAATCGCCACCGTTGATCTTCAAGAATCCTTCGTTCCCGTCGGGTTATACTTCGCACGGGCCATCGTCGTCGTTGGACCTCAACATTGCACCTACTATCACCAACGTTCCAAGAAAATCGTCCTTTGAAAAGGAGACAGCTACAAGATCGTGCTATTTGGATCTATGGGAAAAAGGGGTTAGTAGTAGTACTAATACCGCTAACTCCAGTCACAACCATTGTGGTGAGGAGAAGTCTCCAAAGTTAAAAGATATGAAATTAGATGGAGAATCATCAGCTTCTGGGTGGCTGCAAATGGGCATTGCAAGCTTTACCCCTTCTGCTTTGATTTGATAAGCTATTCTTAAAGGTCGCCAAGAAGGCATTTTAGTACAAATGTTCCCGATTCTATGTCAAGATTTAAAGCAGGCATCCATGATCCATCACTTGCTTGATTACTTACTCTATGCTTTAATTTATGGTGTTTTACTTATTTACATGATTTGTTCTCCATAGATCATACGTAATTTTAATTTGGGCTCAATGTAGACACATATATATGTAATTGGAATGGATACAATAGTTTAGCAAAAGATCAGATTAAAACGGATTAATTAATGTATTATGATGTTTTTCATCAAAAAAAAATTCAATCTAATATCCACACAAACGATAATAGAGTACTAAAATAAACATTGCATATATGGATATGTATCAAACATTTATTAGATACAATCGGAACACAAAATTGATATGGATGCATTTCAAATTCGACTTATCAGTCAAATTTTTCACCAACCATAATAACTTTTGATTTTGCATGTTTAAATAATGTAATAATCAAAATAAAGTAAGGTTAAAGTTACTTTTCTAGTTGCATTAGTTGATGTTATTGTAGAAAACCATTTTAGATATTTTTCATACTTCATATAATTTTTCTTTATTTTATTAATAATAAGTACTAGTAGTTTAAATACGAGTATAATTTTTCAATAAATCAACAAAGTCTGTCCTGGTAAAGAAAAACAGAATCCGTCAATCGTGTTAGAAATACGACTTTGTTATCATGCTTAAAATTCATAATTAATAAATACGACTTCGTTAGAAATAAATTTTAATCACAAGGCGTTTCTAATTTCAGTAATTTGTTGAAAACTTTAATAAATAAGTGAATCAACTAAGGAAATGATCAAATTAATTTAAGATGCCAATTCACAAGCATGTTCAAAATTAATTTATGTTATTTTATGAATCATATATTACATAAATGTACAAAAATATTTTCATGTGTGAAACTATATTTGATTATATTGATATATTTTAAAACTTGTTAACAAGACAAGAGTTCATTTGTAAAAAAAAAAAATACAAGAGTTAATTTATTATGTAAAGTCATTTTAAAATTTGTTTAAGGCTTCAAAAGGTAGAAAATAAAACCAAATCTCAAAAAAGGACCAAAAAGGCACAAGAATTCGAATCCAAGACTTTGGTAAGGTACGTACAACACAGTTTCCACTTGACAACAATCCCTTTTGTGTAAAAGTTCGTCAACAATATATAACATAACTATATTTGAGAAACCAATACTCCGTATATATAATCAAATATTGGGTATATATAGGGTTGGGTGGGGGCAGCTACCCCCTTCCCCACCCTGGATACGCCCCTGCTTAAAAGGCAGGGAAATTCTTTACAACTCTCGCATGACTAAGCAAAAATATTTGCTCAATCTTGAGCAATATTTTCTATGTTTAATCATGGAAAGATGGACCTTCAGCGCTTCAGGTTGTTATGAGTTTATACATTTTTTTTTAAATGAACGGATGAGTTTATGCGTTTAGTAATGAACATAATGTGGAGGTCTGAGTCTAGTGTAAGAATAATGATCATCATTATAATGTTAGTATATTAGACCCCAACCTACTACTTTCGGGGAAGCCAAATACACTACTCTCCGTACGGAGCCCAATCAATGAGGCCTGTTTCGACATAATTTATCTAATTGTAAATTTGATATTTTCGGAATCATATATAATTTAGACTGAGTTTATTTTACTTTTGCATCACATTAAATTATATATGCCTAGTCAGAGGGTGAGAGGACCTTCGAGTTATGAGTCTAATGTGGGAATGAATAGTGGTATAAGGTGTGATTGAAGGTGCAGCTGGTCCCAACTCCCAAGTCTGGAGGTTACACGTCGGGTGTGAATAGTTCGTCTAAGGAGAGGACTCTCGATTTGTCATTGTCTACCTCGGGTCCAATGACACACTATTGTCGGGTGTGCAATCGAGAGTTTAATTGCGCAGGAGCCCTCGGTGGGCACATGCGGTCTCACACGTTGCGAGATCAAGCAGACAAGAGTCGGAGTGATAATCACGAACACATGAATGACAAGCACTCAAATGTCGAAGGACAAAAGCACTCGTACTTCTTACGCACTATCACAAACCGTTTTGTCACTAAAAGTAGAGGATATAGAGGCGGTGACGATGACATTGACGATGATAAGGGTGTCATGCCAAATGGTAGCATCGCGACATTTTCATCATCGCCTCATTTTCCAGACCAGACCAGACCAGAACAGCAAATTTCAGTCCAAAAGAAAACATCCTTACTCTAGAAGCTCTGCTACTTTATACTACGTATCATATAAAAATTGTATAAAGATAAAAATTAGAATATCTAGACTTAATAAAAGGAAACCAAATCAAAAGTTAGTATTATTTACGTACATGTAGTATTGTTTACGTACATGTAGTACATCCTTTCTAATTTTTTTGCCTAATATAATTAATTATCAAATTTGCTTTTCTCGTCGATCAGTTCCCTATTCTGCCCTAATTTGCTTTTGTCCCAATTATGTTACTTTATATTATATAAATAAATATTACAGAGTATAAAACAAATAAAAATAAAACTAATGAGAGGAAACATTTTGTAACAAAATAATACTTTAATAATTATTACAACTATTATTATAATTAGTAAATTTGACAGATGTCTATTACAACTAATAATGAAAGGTTCGAACAAAAGGAAAGCATTTATGTTTACATAATTTCACACACGTGTAATTTTATTTGGTAAGTTTATTCAATTTTATCATAGTTTATTCAATAAATGCTCTATCAATGAATATATTTTCAACCCAAGCGCAAGGATGGAGATTAGACCATTTGGAGCGGTTGAGAGGCCAAATTGTTAAAAATAGACTCCGTTTATATGAAAATAGTGTTTAGACTCACACTTTCCTGCATTCCAGCACCGTCAATAAAATACACTCAGCATATATTTTAACCTATCGACTTACAAAAACATTAATTTAATTATTATAAGTAATGTTTTCCTTTTAATTTTTTTCGCCGATTAATTATGAAACAAAAAAATACATATTTCGATGTAAAAATAAATAAATTTAATTCATTTTTGCTAACAAAATATGAACTTAGTTCAAGTAAAGTTCGATTATGGAATCTTCAATTATTTGTGAAGGCTCCGTGAATTAAAAATTTGTGTTTCATGTTTTTCCGGGGCTCAAGAAAACTTCAACAGTTAAAACTTCAAAAACAAAAATCATTATATATATTACATATTGGTGTCATATGAAAGATCATAAAAAATTGTGAATTTTAATATACTTTTTGAAAATTTTGGATAAAAAATAAAAAAGTTATACAAGTTTAAATTTTTTTGGGATATTATGATGCAGGGATGACATCATCCGCACCAAAAAAGAAACCCGCGTCACCTCTATTTTCTCTTTTTTTTTTTTCTTTTTCCTTTTCCCACTCCTCTTAACCAACCCTCTATATTTAACCCTCTCCATCCCCTTTTCCATTTTTAATAGTCCTTTAAATTACCACTACACACAATTAGGAGTCCAAAAATTCTAGATTTAGCTTTTTGGACTCCTAATACCTCACCACTCCAAATGGTCTTATATACGGAGTATGTTTCAACTTTCAAGATATACATATTACATTTTTACCCCTCCAATAATTGTAGCAACTTTATAAAGATTATAAAGATACTTTATATTATATAAAAATAAAGATGTAGGAGTAAAATTTAATCATATAAAATTTAATCATATAAAATTTAGTCAGCTACAATAATCTTAAGGGCTTCAAAATTAGATTACAACCCCTAGTTGGAAAGGCATATTTAGGGCACATATTATACCGTACAACCGGCTGTACGGTGAGCACCGTACAGCCGAGTATTTTTGAAATTCAATTGAACTTGCGGGGTTATAGCTATGGTGCTCTGCTTACTCCGATTCTTTCTCGGTCGTCGTCCCTGCTTTCTCTTACCGCAGTCCGCAGTCTCCGCACGTTCTTTGCTCTGCTTTTTTCAATTCCTCATTTCTTTTGTTTTTTTCGTTCGTACGTTTATAGTCCGCAGTCCCTGCCTTTTACTTGTGATCCTTTTTTCTTTCAAGAGCCTTTACTTTTTAATTCAAGAGCCTTTCGCTTTAAATTTTATTCAATTATTATGAAACTTTACAATATAAAATATTAATACGGTGTCAAGTTTTTTTTTTTGCTCCTTTTTTCAATCATCTTCCTAATGTAATTTTTTTAATTTGTCCATTTTAAAAATATTTTAGGTATAAATGTTTTATTTTTCTATTTTTACTTTTAAGATAAGTATTTATTAGTTATTAAATATTGTGTCTCAATTTAACATGAGTTTTGTGTTATATTAAAATGAGTATAATGTAAACTAAATATGCACAAATAAATTTGAACACATTAGAGAATTCAAATGAGCTTTTAATTTTTTCGATGCTCATTTTGTAAGTTACATGTGTTCATCTCGTACTGGGTTATGCTCATTTCAAAACAATAACATTAAATTCGCATAAGAGTTAAATTATATACACGAGACCAAAGGTCATGATACTCAATTACATATTTCTGATAATCAATTGATGAGATTTGATGTTCATTGAAAATGTCTTGATGCTCAACTAACCAATCTTTTAACTTTGATATCGTATTGGTGTTATGCTCATTTTAAAATGTTATGTCAATGCATATCCCAAAAGCAATGTATTACATTACGTTTGCGTAGGAGTTGATTATAGATACGAGGCACAAACCATGATACTCAATTGCATTTTTCTAATACTCAATAGAGGGTGTTTAATACTCAATAAAATTGTATTAATGCTCATCTAAAAAACTTATAACTTTCATAGTAATGCTCATTTTGTAAGTTATGTGTGCTCAATTGGTACTTCTATTATGCTCAGTTTTAAAATTTCATAACAATGCATATTCCAAAAGTATCATATTGCATTAGATTTGCATATTGAAATTCATAGGAATTGCTTATAGATATAATTTATTGAGTTTTTATAAAAGAATAAATAAGAGAAAAAAATGTGAATTACAATATATGAAGTTGATATGACGATACTCATTATTTGGCTCTTAATGCTCAGTAGAATACGCCTGATGCTCATTAAAAGTGTGTCAATGCTCATCTAACGAAAACCAAGATTTTCATTGAAATGACGAAAATGCCACCGTTTTTAGTTGTGATATCAACTTTTTTTTGTAATAACACAGTGTTCATTATGAGACGCTTAACACTCATAAAAATTGAACTATTGCTCATTAACTTTTTTTTTAAAATGTCATATCAATACACAAATGAATATTGAGCACATCTTGAGCACAATAGAAATGATTTTTATGTTAAATTCAAATGAGTATAACAATCCAACTAACAAAATCATTAGTGCTCATTTTGTTAGTTACGTATGTTCATCTGATACCGATCTTATGCTCATATATTTAACTCCTAATACTCAATGTAATAGACCAGATGCTCATTAAACGTTCATTAATGCTCATTCACAAGAAACTGTAGTTTTCATCTCAATAACGGGTGTTTGATGCTCAATTAAAATGTCGTGATGTTGAACTAACAAAACCTTATGATTTTCATATCAATGTACACTTTGTAGTTATGTATGTTCATTTGGTAATGATGTAATGTTCTTTTTTACAATATCATATCAATGCATATTTCAAAAGTATCATATTATATTAGACTCGCATATTGAAATTAATAAGAGTAGATTATAGATATAATTTAATAAGTTTTTATACAAGAAAAAAATAAGAAAAAGAAAGAGAAATAGAATATATGAAGCAAAGATCGTGAAATTCATTGTTAGTCTCCTAATACTCAATTAGGTCTGATGCTCACTAAAATTACATTATTGCTCATTTGATATTGATATTATGTTCATTTTAAAATGACATATCAATGCATATTTCAAAAGTACCATATTAAATTAAATTCGCATATTGAAGTTTATAGAAGTTGATTATGGATATAATTTAATAAATGTTTATAAAAGAAAAATAAGAAAAAGAAAGTAAATTACAAGATATGAAGGAGATATCACGATGCTCATTGTTAGACTTCTAATACTCAACAAAATATGTGTAATGCTCACTAATATTAAGAATTTTATAAAAGAAAAAAATAAGAAAATTAAAAGAAAAGAAATTATAAGATATTGTGCTCAATATTACACTCTCAATACTCAACAAAATAGCAATAATGCTCAATAAAAGTATTGATGCTCAACCAACTTGAGCAAAAGGTCTACCTCATGTAACATTCGTTCCACATTTCCAGTAGTTTACGGTTGTATTCCTTCATCGCAAATAAAGTCCAGTTTTAGTTCGACATGTTAAACGGCTCAAACTTATTGTGCTATGATATACTATGCATATTACAGTAAGAAGTAATACACTTCCATGCAATTTGAAGGTGAGGAGCAAGAAAATGGAAAATTGAAGTCTGAAACCTCTGCCTGCGTTGCCAGAAGAGGAGGAAGACGAAGAAAGCTTCACCGGAGTGTTGCCGGACTGGAATTTTCACGCTGATCGTGGAGGAAGCGTGCCGCCATCTCTTCGCCGGAACACCCCTAAGCCACAGTGCTACTTGTCTCCAGAAAAGGGAGGCCGATGTGGGGTTAGCATGCAACTGCAAGTCTCCCCTGCATTTTGCGTTCCTGAAAAAATTTGGAGGAAGAAGATGAAGGTATCGTAGCATTCTCGTAAACTGAAAGTATTAATTGGGCCAGAGAATCGTCAGGCTGATGTCAAATGTTTTGGGAATTGCAAAAATGCCACCGGATGTACGTACAACCGGTGGTACGATATACGAACTCTATTTAGGGGTGTTTGGATCTGATTCTTAAAACTGCTTCTGCTCTTTCAGAGAGCAGAAGCAGAAGCTGGAGTGTTTGGGTGAAAGTGAAGAAGTGATTCTGGTACTCAAATTTACTCCTAAAATTAAATTTTTTTAGAAGCTGAGGATGACCAACTTCTGAAAACTGATTCATATGCTGCTTCTACTTTAAAAAAGAAGCAGAAGCAGAATCAATTTCAAACATCCCTTATGGGGTGTTTGGAACTGATTCTGCTTCTGTTTCTTTTTTTAAAGCAGAAGCAGAATCAGAATCAGTTTTCAGAAGCTGGTCTCCCCCAGCTTTTAAAAAAACTGATTCTAGGAGTAAATTAGAGCACCGGAATCACTTCTGCACTATCATCCAAACACTCCAACTTCTATTTCTGCTCCCTGAAAGAGCAGAATCAGTTTTAAGAATCAGATCCAAACACCCCATTACTTCGACAAGGCATTTAAAACAAAAGTCTGCTTTAGGAATATGGAATTCCAAATTTCCAATCGAATTTTTTTTTGAAATTTCTTGGTAAACCTAAATTAGTCGTAAATAACTCTTCCGCATCCCGTGATCCTAGAAAGCCTAGAATAAAGTCCGTATTTTTTCCTTCCATGTTGGTAACTCCCGTCTTTTTAGAAAAGACCCTATAATTTACGGTGAAGCAGTCATAAACAAAGGACAAAATCAGTTCTTTTGGTGAAGCAATTGCTCAGTTTCCATTCATTATAGTTTAGCGGCGATGGTCACGAATTTCAGGTTTGCAATTAGTTTCTCTGAGATCGGGTCTTCATTAATAAAAAATTTAAAATTAAATCTCAGTTGCTGTTGTTTGTTTTTGCATTTTATTGAAACAATGGAGCTTTCTAAATTCTAATTAAAAAAAACCTAGAGCAGAACCAGTTGTCTAGGAGATGGTTTATTGCTTCTCTAAATCAGCACTACCTAAACCAGTTGTCCACTTAATTTAAGGAGAAGCTTTCAAGCTGTTAATCCTGGAGCAGGTGAAGGTATGAGTGCTGCTGATCTAGGTAATCAATAATAAATAGATAGTATAAATGGTAATTAAGGAATAAATAAATTTGAATCTTGCTGTGTGTGGTTATTGCTTTGAGCTTGCAGTGTGTCCCAAATGGTTGAGGGACGGTGGTAATGAAGACATATTGTTGGAAATACTAGCTAGGCTACCAAATAGTCGAAATGCAATTCATGCCAGCTTGGTGTCTCACCTTTGGCATTCCATCATCTCTCAGCAGCAGTTTATTCCCAGGTTTATAGGCCTCCGGGAGCAAAAGAAGAAACAGCAGCCTTATTCCATCATATTCCGCATAGTAGATGTTTATCAGTATGTTGCAGATGAGTATTATCAGCCCATCTGCAAACTATTTTCGGAAGAATCTGTGGTTCTCCATGGGGGAAGGAAGGAGGAGACAGTGACATCATGTAGAAGTTATCCTCCTTCTGGCGGCAGTGGCGGCGTCCAGCCACCTTCACCCAACATGGTCATAAGAGCATCTTGCGGTGACTTGCTGCTGTTGTCGCAAAGTGCACGCCACTATAGGTGTAAGCCGAACTCCTACTATCTATGTAACCCAGTAACCAAACAGTGGTTCCATCTCCCCCATGTTGATTTCAATGGGTTCTTGATGGGGTTTGCAATAGTACGCATGCCGCCGCCTGCCCATAACAGCCATGGCAGTTATGAATACAAGGTGGCATTCATTCATTATCCTATATATTATGAAGATGAGTATTTTGCTGGGGACAGTTGGGAGTTCAGAATGTCAATTTATTGTTCAAAATCAAGACAATGGATTGTTGAATCATGGTTTCGATATCCTATACCTACTTCCCGCAGGTGTGCTAGGTCTTTCATTAACCCAGTCACTTGTAATGGAACTATTTATTGGTTAAATTGCAGTAAGTTTCCTGACTACGTCATTGCCTGTGATTTGGCAAACAACCCCCACTCTACTACCTTTATACACCTACCCGAAGGCTCTATGCCTGGTGGTGGGGGTGTTGTTTCGCTAGAGTTGGGCGCTGTCCTGGGGGAACTGAGAATATTCAACGTATTCCACCCGCCACCGGGTGACCAGCAGCAGCCTCGGCATCTCGTTGTTAAAGTTTGGGAGTTGAATCACAGAACCAATTCTTGGACTCTCGTTCATGACACACACTTCAATGATAGGCCGCCGCCTCCTAATGGCATCCAAGTAGAAGGAAACAAGTTCAACATCCGTACAGTTGCTTTCCATCCACACGATGGGGACGTGGTCTTTTTGGTATGCGGCTGTGGTGTTTTCCAGTATCACATTTCACAGGGTGTGTATGAGAAAGTAGATGAGCTCTGTAGTGTTTTTCGGTATCACATTTCACAGGGTGGTGTGTATGAGAAAGTCGACGAGCTCCTCCATTCTGTGCCTCCAAACGAGCTTCTTACATCCTTCACTCTCCTCCACTCTATCTGGCCCACCACCATGTTGCTCTCTCCTTCCGATTAGAATAGTAATTGCTATATTTGACTCTCTGTTACTGTGTGCACACTCACATACTGCATATGTTATTGTGAAACAGTGATGAACTTTATTGGTTTGGGATTGTGATCTTGACCATGATAATTGTCAACATTTGCCCCCTTTGTCCTTGCATTTGTTTGTTCCCCTCCCACCGCTCCGTTTTTCTTGTGCTCACTCTTTAATTTGCTATATTTGTATCCAATGTTGAAAATATCTCTATCGGTAGTATATAGACACTTCATTTTTCTTATAATATCACTTGATAATATCGCTATCACAAAAAGAATAGTATGTATAATAAGTAAATGCTAACTTTTGACTCCATGTTTAATTGTATGAAGGATCTACTTATATTTAACGCATGCATTTTGGTATAGTGACATTTTATTTTTAGTTTTATATGTTCAGTCCATTTCTAAATCTAACTAATACTCCGTACTATATATGTAGTTCCTTGCTCTGTTGCTTTTGTGATGATTGATTTGAAATGATCCCTTAGCAGCTCATGCTAATCCGATTAGTCAATTGTTTGGCTGGACTAGCTGCTGATTTTTGTCTGTCATATACTGACTTAGCTACTAATTTTTGTATGTCACATACTGGCTTATCTACTGTTTTTTGGCTGTTTTTTTCTGCTGAATGAATTAGCTGCTGGTTTTTTGTTTGTTTTTAACTGTTTTTTGTTGATTTTGTGTAAGATGAGCTGCTGCTAGTTATGGGGTGGAGTCTCTACTATGCAGCAAAACATTTTTTCGTTTCAAATTCAACCTATGGTTGGTTTTATTGGTTTGTGATTTGGATGAATGTGGACATGGATTTTTTCGGTTCTTGCTAAATTTAGATAGTTAATAATAGGGGTGAACAAAATGCTTTAGTTCAACTGAATCAGTCTAAATCAGAAATCGATACTTTTGATTGGTATGAGTTGATTGTAGTAAATCGTTTGGTAACGATTAGTGCAAACTGAATGGCTTGGTTTTGTTTTGTTTAGTTTCAAATTGAAATATTGTAAACTTAATCAAATATTTATGAGAATATTACCCGAAATAGGACTAAAAAAGTTTGAAAATTTCAAAATAGGACTGTCATGTTTTTATTCCCAAAATAGGACTAATTATTGACATGTTTTGGCAGCACCAGACTTCAAACATGGCATTATTTTCCAAACTTGGCAGTAATTACTCCTATTTTGAGAATAAAAACATGATAGTCCTATTTTGGAATTTGCAAACTGTTTTAGTCCTATTTCGGGAACTTTCCCAGAGAATGCTTATGCTATTCCTAATACTGGTTTCACAATCCATTGAACTTAAATGATTACACTTTGTATTGCCTCTTTGGCATTTTTTTATTGAGTAAGGGGTGTTTAGTGAATGCCTTGATATAAATTCAGAGGCACTTCTTGAGAAGAGAAGAATTGCATGGATGATTTTTGGAGAAGCTAGAGGGTACTAGCTTCTAGAAACTAATTATCATTCAAATGTTTCCATTTCGTAGATACCCCAATCCTCCATCATTCTCTGAATTTTGGAATTAAGACTGATTTTTCTTTTAAAAGTAATGAAGTCATGATTTGTGTATTTCAAAGTACAATTCATTTTGCTTCCTTGCATTTTACTGGATTGAAATTTGTAATTGTTGTTTCAGTTATTTGATCATTAGTGTAATTTATACCTCGTATTTTATACTCCCTCCGTCCCGGGGAGAAGTTCCCAATTTCCTTATTTGGATGTCCCAAAAGAAACTTCCCATTTCCCTAAATGGAAAGTTATCCTACATTAAAACAGTGCCAAACAGTGCCAAACAGTGTCGAAACTAGGGGTGGGCAAACAGGTCTTGGAACCGCGGTCCGGTCCGGGTAATGGCGGTTCGGGTCCAAAACGGGCCGGTTCCATTTTTTGTTTCCATAAAACGGTCCGGGTAGGGTCGGGTAATTTTTTTAAGGAACCGGACCGGTTCCAAAATTAAAAAATAACGGGTACCCGGCCCGGCCCGTTATATATATTGTATATTAATTTATTAATAGTTTTGTGATAATCGGTTTTGAAATAGTTTTGTTTCCTGTGCTAGAAGTAGGATTTTAAATTGAGTTGCAGTAACATCCTTTTGTTTTCAAATTATTGATTAAATGTTTCATAAATATCTTATTACTTTTTATTGTTATTGAATTGTTCCTTTCTATGGAATTTAATTATTTGTTAAAGATGATTTTGTTATATTTTTTATTATATTGTTATTAAAATATATAAATTGTGTTTACCACCCACCATGTATGTGTCAACTTTGGCTAATACTGAAAATTTAATATAAAAAAAAAAAGCAATCACTTAAATATGTGATGTTAGACAACATGTTTAAATATAAATGTTAGAAAATATGTATTTTGGCTATGTTGCATATTTTTGGAATTTCTTTAAGAGGTATTTACCTAAATAGGAGTAAATCCATCTTTAATTGCTAAATTAGGAGTAAAGTTTAAAATTTCCCCAAATAGGACTTATTATATGTAGTTGGACAGATGACCCCCGAAATTTGCCAAATCTCACTGCTGCCGACAAACCTCAGACCACCGCCGATCACCGTCGGCCGCCGCAACCACCGCAGAACTAGTCGTCGTTAAAGATATGGCTGCTACTAATACAGATCTGATAGTTTCCTCTGCAGATCTGACTGCCACCTTCATGGATCTAGCCGGATCTTACCGCACCAACCGTCTTCCGCCGCCCCTGAAGATTTGGCCGCCGCCTTTATAGAACTGACCTCCTCCGTTGCAGATTCGGTGCCCACCGTTGCAGATCTGACTGATCCCATCACTCATGCCAATATTTTCATTAGAATGCCACCATGAATTTAGAATGCCATATGAATGGCATTTTCAGATGGAAATATGGAATTTGTGAAGTGTAAGAATGCCATTTTTATGGCATTTTCAGATTAAATTTGGAATTTGTAATCGGCCAAATAATAAGAAACAGAGCTTAAAAAGATGAAACAGAAGAGAGGTGTTTAGAAGAGGGAACAAGATGATCTTTTCCAAACAAAATTTAGTCATCTCACCATCTCACCGTCGTCATCAAAGGAGTTCTCCGTTCGCTGCTTTCGTAAGCCTCTCATAGATCGATGCAGCTTCCCAGTTCGCAGGTACAATAAGAATGGCGAGAAATAAGAGTCCAAGCAGAATGATACAGAGTAATTATCGGAGAGAGAAGCATCAATAAGGGAAATATGGATTTGGGATTTGACTGGTGGGAACACTTCATTAAGGGTAGAATAGGAATATCATTTAAATTTAGTCCCATTTATGCATAAAAACAATGGAAGTCCTACGGATGCTGATGGAGTATATGGCCCAGGAACCCCCGGCCCATAGACTCCTACTTCTCCTACACAAGTCCATTAAGCCCAGGAAACAACTCAGGCCCAAATACGACGGCCCAAGCCTCAAAGCGGCCCGGAATACACACTGGGGTGCCTTCGGCCTCCTTGGCCGAAGGCTCCAGAACTCACAGAACCGCCATATTCGACCATGCGAAGCTACTGGGAGAAATTGACAGAAAACGGGAAGCCCTCGGCTCAACCAAGCCTTCGGCTACACAGGGGGCCTTCGGCCATACACGGAGCCCTCGGCTACACCGGCAGCCTTCGGCTGAACTAGCTCAATCATCGGAGATTCCTTTTGGAGGCAGCCAACCACCGCATTTAATGCCACGTCACATCCGCCAACCGCATTCAATGCGGTGAACGTACCACTGCCGGTGCCAACCGGCTGATGTGACCCTTCGGCCGTTGGATTACTGACACGTGTCCCCTCATCGCATTTATTGCTGCTATAAATAGCAGCCCATTTCTCCTTGTAAAAGATATAATCGACATCCCGATTACACACACTGAGTTCATTTAATAAAATCGACTCTCTCTCCTCCTATTTACTCTGACTTCTCTCTAAGTTATTCCCGCAATAACCCCTCGGATAAGATACCCCCCGGGTAGAATATCCATCATTTGGTGCTCTCGTTGAGAGGTCTGAACTATCAAGTAAGAAACCCTCCCCCTCTACCAAATACAAAACACTTACCAAAAGATGGGAAGAACCACTCGTGCCCAATCTAAAACTCTGGAGGAGAACCACGTCGCCCCCGGCGAAACCAACGGGGCTGAGGCCTCCAACAGGCTCTTGGTACCCGAGGGTGGTGTCATCCTTGAGTTAGAGCAAGCCGCCGCTGACCTACGCCAGCAGCTGCAGAAGAATACCCCTGATGCCCGCATTGGCCTTGATAATCGAAGGAGGGATCGGAGTGAGAACCAAGTTCCCCCTCCGGCCCCGGCCATCGATCTTCAAGCTGCCTTTGCGGCCTTTGTTCAAAACATGGCTCTCAATTCCGGAGCCCTCGCCTCTCAGGCACCCCTCCAGCCCTACGCTGGAGGAAATGTTATTCAGTTGCCACCACTCCCTCCTCTGTTCACCAATCCTCCCCCGGGGATTGGAAACGCCGAAGGGGTCATGGCACAGGATACCGCTTCCCAAGAGGCCCAATCTAGGGATAAACGTCCCTTGATGAAGGAGAAACCCCGGACCTCTGCACTTGAGAGGCTTGGGGGAGCTCCCGTACGCCGAGGGGTCCAAGACCGCCTCGGCAAACAGGAATTCAGCAGGCCTCAGGAGAGCGGAGCCTCCGCTTCGGGAGCCGAGGGCATACCTCCGCCCCGAAGCAAGGGCAAAGCAATCCTCCATGCCGATGACGCCAGACACCAGATCAATCAAGCGCAGTCCTTCCGGGCCAACTCCCAAGGGGTTGCTCCGAAGGACCCCAAGGACGAAATCATTGAAGCCCTCCTCCGTCAACTCGAGGAGAATCGCCAGGCACCCCCGACGGCTTCCACAGCGAGGCCAGATCCGGAGTACGCTGACCTCCGGGCACAGGTGGAGGAAATGAAACGTACGCTGGCCGAAGGCTCCGGCGAGCCCCTCATTCAGCTCCGCACTAGGACGCCTTTCACCCCAAGGGTGTTGGCGGCCAAAATCCCCCACAAATATCGGGGGCAACCTATCAAACCGTATGAGGGGAAGACGGATCCCCAGGAGCACTATAGCCGTTATCAAAACATCATGATGATGATGGGGGCATCGGATGAATACTTATGCCGTTGGTTCCTTTCCACCTTGGAAGGACCAGCGTATGAGTGGTTCAACCGGTTGCCCGAAGGCAGTATTGAT